ATCAGGGTATCTGCTAAGCAAAGAAATAATAATATTTTTTTAGCATATTGAATATAAGTAGTTGACAGTATTCTTTTAAGGTGCCTGACATTTCTTGGATATCTTAAGAATCTGTTGTATTTTTTGTTCCACCGTCATATTTGTCATCATCTTTAATTTTGTACAGTTTTTCTTGAATATAACTGCTGACCAACTCAGTATTGAGCTCAGTCATGCTATTTAATAATAAACAAGTTCATATTATAAAATCGATGTTTTAATTTTGGTGCTGCTCTGGACATTGTTAGCAAAACTGAGTTTTATCTCCCTCTAGTGGCTACATTAAGATTTGGAGGCTAATGTTTTAAAATTGAAATGAATTCTTGGTGTTTCATTTTTTCTGGTTAAAATATATAATTAAGAGCAGACTTTTTGGACTAGTGTGTAATTAAAGGACCGTGTGCAGATCTTATAGTCCAGCTATTGTGACAATTGAGTTGAAGTTCAGTTAATCCCATTTGCAGAAGTCCTCTTGATAGTTAGTACCTGTTTAATCCAGTGATCTCATCCTGCAGTTTCTTGAAAAAGCCAGGGTATCAGCTTCAACACCATGATTGGGTAGCATGTTCTATATTCCTTTACACTGTAAAGAAGTGCTTTTGCGCTCGTTTTTAAATGTGCTTCGACTTGTATTGTCTGCTTCATGTTTGTGTTTCTTTTCTGAAGAAGCACAGTGGGTTGATGTTGTCAGTACATTTGAAAATTATGAATACATGTATCGGGTCCTCTCACAGTGTTTACTTTTACAACTAAGAAGATTCAGTTTCTTCACCCCTGTAACATGTAACATGATTATCGAAGCATTTTTAAAGCAGTTCTGAAAATTAATGTGTAATCCAATACATGAAGATGCAACCTGTTAGTGACAGATGTTTAAAAAGAACTTCAAAAACAATTACTTTAAAAGCTGGAGTGCTTTAGAGCAAAGTTTTTTAAGTAAGATTTTCGAAGCAGACAAATAAAGAAAATTTGACTTGCACTGTAGCTGAATATTATGACCACAGCTAGCAGCCAACATCTTTCTAGTTAACACTTAACACTTTTTTGTACCAAAATGTCCAGATAGTACCAGTCTCCAGATAGTCCCAAAAATACCAAGCAGTAAAAATTCCCATCTATTGATGCATCTACCCTACCTACAATTTTTAAGTCCTAAGATTTACTGCAGCACACCCGAATCAAATCGTGTAATCAAATCACAAAGCAGTATTACAGGGGGGATTAAATAAATGTCATCGTTTTTTCAGTGAGGAGTACCTGTGCTTTTGTATCTCACTTTGTGTTACACACTGTTTCCACCCTGGTCCTTAGCGTCTGGGTTTCGAAAGAGCAGAAGTCGCAAACTTTTTTTCTGAATGATAAGATTTTATTTTTGGGCTAACACATAACACATATCACATTGTGCTACATAAGTGCTTCAGTGAAAGTGAAGTGTATTTCTGCCAATAATTGTGATGTTCAGTGTAGTTTTTTTTTATTAGTGTAACAGGGTGAACCTAGCGTCAGGTTGGTGTAGGAATGAGCTAGGTTGTATGGAATGTGTTCTACTGAGGTTATGGTGGTATAATTGGATTTGCGTGGATACCACAGTGGCTCCTAGCTGTGTGAGATCATTAAAAATAATTGAGCTTATTTATGTGATTTAAACAGCATGAACATTATCTCTGTTTTGTGTTTCTTATGTAGGTAAATTATTTGTTTGCTGTTTTTCAGGTGCATCTGTGACGTGAGCTCTTGCAGTCCTGCTGTGAGAAATATGGACAAATCCAATTCTGCTCTTAGGAAAACGTCACACTTTTTACGAAACCAGGTACCACTTATTGCACGGCAAAACTGTATTTGCTAAGAATAAAGGAGGAATATTTTAATCTGATTGCTGCAGCAGTTTTTATAAAATAAGCACAATCTCATAAAATTATTTTTTTTTATAATAACAAATTCTATAAGTGCTGCTGTCTTTGTCTCGGTTCAGATTAGCCAAGGCCTCAACAAATAAACAATAGATAAGACTTTATTGATCCCAAAGGGAAATTGATGAAATAGACAAGGCTCGTTTGAGTTTGGGCTGTGATGTTCACTAACCCTTGATTTGTTGGGTGCAGTGTTGTCACCAGTACTCGCCAATCAATGCTCAGTCTACCGTAATGCACTACTGAACTTGTGTCGTATAACACGATGAACGGCCTAACTGTGTGCATGCAGGAGCGAAGTGTACACAGTTATTTTTTCCCATGTCCGTACAAGAGTTGATATGAGCTGATTTCACAATTTTGGATTTTAAAGTAGGAGGCTATAGAAAAAATCAGTTAAGATCGGTAATATTTATTAGGCCATGTTCATTTTTATCAACAGTATATCAAATGTGTTGCTATGCTTCATCTTGTAGAACTGTAAACAGTTCCATGGACAAGTTCTGCTGATAATGGTGCATTTTCAGGATTTAAAATATTGTAAATTTAAAATCAGTCCAGTCCATATTTCTCTTGGCTTTTCCCTACAGTTCTTTGGGATTTATTTACCATTTACTCCAAGATGGAGTGTAGGCTGGAGGACAAATTTAGTTTGTGATGGAGGGTTTCCAAGGTCACGCTGAATAGAGAAGAAACCTGAGTGAGCGAAGTTACCAGTCTCATTTATCAGGTGTGCATTCATGGAAATAAAGCAGATAACACTATCCATTAGGGCTGCTTAGCTCGTGAAGTTTCCCCTGGAAGGAAACTTATGTTAATTTTGTATGTCAGAAGTGTTGTACTGTGTTTAGGGTGCAGGTTTCTGTATAATCTGAAGTAGATCATATTTATTGATGCAAACTAAAGACAGTAATGTTTTTGGTGCTTCTCTTAGCTGTCTTATCACAATGCAGTATTATGACAAGTTAAGCCATATGTCAGACTTCAAGTGACAGCTGAATCCAAACATTTTTCAGGAGGGATTTGGGAGCAACTGTGCTAGCTAATTAATCACTAACAATCTGAAGGAAGAATAATTAGGTGTTATGTATGTAGATATCATTATGCTTATTGTTTGTGCAACATTAGTTATTTTGAGATATTGTATTATTTTCCCTATAAATCTGCTAGCTCTGTCTCATGGTGTACAAGATGTATTGATCTATTTATATGCTGCAATCGTGTCTTCCTCCTCCGTAGCACCTTATGATCTGTTGCATTCTAATTTAAGGGTTTTTGCTTTCTCAGTGTAATTTCTCTGAACTGTATTATGTTACGCAGTAAGCCCAAGCTCGGTATCGATTTATTTATTTTAAAGACAAGCGGTGTAATCTCATTCATTCCACCATGTCGTTTTTGTCTCCTTCACGTCAGCACCCCAGTAAAACTGATTGGGACACAGACGAGAGCAAACCACGAATTCAGAGAACCCCTGTGAAGGACAAGTGCTGCCAGACAGATCATCACCATCATGGCTGCTGCGAGCCAGGTACACCAGCCCCCATGTCTCTTTACCTTAGCAGGAGGTCAGCTGGCAGAATGCACTGTGAAGATGGAGCTTTAAATAGGGCTTTTTGTATTAGAAGAGGCAACCCTTTTTTTTTTTACACAGCAAGCTGCCAAATTGTATATGCACCACCCATCATGTCTAAAATCATACTCTTCTGGTAGCACCATTTTGCTGGATTCATTTACTGTGATAAATGATAGTGAACCAAAAGTTATGTTTTGGAACATTTTATTTCTCTTTGGCTGTAGAACCTTTGGGGGCAGTATAGTGACGTGACAGTTACCACCTGGGTTCTGGGTTCAGTATTGTCAGCCTCTCTCACGTTCTCCCAATGTCCGTCTGAGTTTTCTTTGGGGTTTTCTCCTACATTCCAGAGGTGCCCTCTAGGTTAAGTTGCACCTCAACATTTCTGAATGTGTGTGTGTGTGCCCTGTGATGGGATGGCATTCCACCCAAGATGTAGTCAGTCATGCAGAAATCGAAACACAGCAAATATAAGTGAAATAATACATTTGAAGGGATTTTGCTACACCCTCAAAATAACAAAAAAAAAACATTAAACGCTGCATCATAAAGTGTTTACCACGAGTTTAGTATTTTAATAATTGATTAATAAATTGATTGCATTGCTCTTAAATAAAGGTAATTTATATTCATTTTCACATTTCCATTTAAAAAAATATTAAAGATCACAATGTTCTGTAGATTGTAAGTGCAGAGGAGTGTAAAAAGGTGAGAGCTGGTTCCATGCTTGATGTTATTAGGTACCATAGCGAAGCTTAAATGGTATTTATGCTGTCATTGTAATGTTGAGCATTTGTGGGAGTTTGGAACGGGACTCCCAGCCATGTTGTTAAAGCCATTACCCTGGCTTCTTTCAACAAACAGCTCACTGAGGTCCTTGGATCAATTAACTACTAACTATAAAATGGACAAGATGGGCCAAATGGCTTCCATTCATTTGTCAGTGTTCTAATGTTGTCTTCCCTGTACAGTCCCAAGTGTCAGCACTTGCATTTTAAAATGTTGGGTCAGTTTTATTATTGTAGCATCTGAAAGTAAAGTTGTTAAATAAATAAAAAGTTTCAAACAACAAAACAGTTGTTTTAACTCAGACATCATATTAATAAGTTCATGAGACAATTTCTTTCAGTATCTTTTTGGCCATGTATACAGTAATGAAGCATGGAATGTAAGGTTGAGTAATTCAGAATATATATATTTTTAGGTCAGTAGTCATTTTCAATACCCATATGCTGAAATTGCTTCCACACTGGCATTCAGAAAAGTGTGAAGAGTTATTGTGCTGGATTAGTTCTGCACATTAGTTATAAAATAGCACTCAATATTATTAAATGATGCAGGGAAGGTTTTAAGAGTAATAAAATGAGTTAACTATGCAGCCTCAAGAGGTACAGAATGTTTTCAGAATACAAACATTCCTGTTACAAATCAAATCTGCCTTGTCTGCTCTAATTTACTTGATAGTTGCTCATTGATTTGTAAAATGTCTTCTCTGCCTTTAACCCCACTTCCCAGCACGACCCCTGAGGGAAAGTAAATTATTCTAGGCAGACTAGCAGTGGCCTTGTGCAAGCTTAATGCTAATAGCTGCCTGAAAACCTCTGGCACCCACTATTTGTGTCCTGCGACAGAACTCCTCAGTGCAATATTTTGAAGTCTTTCTGTTCAGAGTATTTTATGGCTTAAAGTGGAAGCACCTCCTTGCTCTTTTTCTGTTGTGTTCAGGCTCCATTCATGCCCTAACTTATCTGATGTGAAACAGTTTTGTTGAAGTGGTGGCCTCACACCATTCTCTCGGTCTGAAAGTGTGAAGAATTGCTTAAAAAGAAGTGGAAGTCTGTCTGCTTGTGGGAAGTAGCGTAACCTCTGTTAGAACAGAGCAATCCTGTAGTATGGTCCAAACTATTTTCCATTTTCTTCTAAATGTCATCCAATGACCATTTCTTACCAAAATGAATCTAAAATGGTCTGAAGTGACAAGGAATGTGAAAGGTGAAGCCATTGCTCAGGAAGCCAGAAGTTATCATGCTGAGCACATAGAAGTTTAGATTTGCGAAAACCCATTTGCAATAGTGTCATCAAACTGAGCACCTTGAATAATAAAATGTAAGAGCGATAAGCTGAACTGAACAAATCCTTCTTTAAGCACTTTCTGCTAGCAAACACCATAAAGTGAATAAATGCTGTTAGGCTGTGGTGACATGGAGCTTTCCTAGTGACCAAAATGTTTTGCAGTCTGCATGTAAACAAATGTAAGCAACTGTTTACAGAAATATATAATACACTTTTTGAAATGTGTAGCCACAGAGACTACATGAATTAAATGGTTTAAACTCTGAAACAAAGGTCATTTTCATTTAAATTATAATTAAAATCCTTTCGTGTAGCACAAATTGATTTTTGTCAAAACTGTACCAAGTGCTTTCTCATTCTTCTACCACTAGAATTAGAATAGCAGACCTCACTAATGGTAGGTGATTTGGATGACCTTCATTTTAGTATTGAGTGTGCTGATTTCTGCCCAGGAATCAAATAGCATCTTTGTTTTTTCTAGAACTGCAGGCTTTAGCAATCAATGAAATTGATTATGCTTTGGTGACATATGCTAACATACAATTCCATTTACTTTGGCTTTAGTAATTATAATACTTGTAATTGCTAAAGTGCACTCCTTTATGATGCCTTTTGTGCGATTCAACATTTGTAACATCCTTTTCATAGATAGATGCTTTCTATCAATGAACCTGTTATCTTGGGAAGGTCAGGTGTATCCTGAAAACTACAAAACTAAAGTTCTGAACCAGGAACTTTGATATTGTGTTAATTAAACTAGCTTATAAAATGTTCTGAATTCCTGAGTCATGCCACCATTATGCTTTTGAGAATACCCTTCAGGGTCAGAGTTTGCATTTTTGCAGGTTTATTATTTGTGAATTTTGAATGGTCCGGTCCTCTTTACCAGTCCATTCCGGCAGCGGTTGTTTTTCAAAGGCGTGAGACTGTTGTTTTCAGGAAAAATGTCTTTCATCTAGAGCAAGGGGCGAGATAGTTAAAAAAAGCACTAAGCTGGTTATAACAGCGTGGCTGTCAGGTCACACTTTGCTGCCTGGAAGAGCAGCAGACCTTTGCCAGAGGGTGAACAATGAAGACATGCCTTCCCTCATTAGGCATGTTTTGCACCGACACAGTTCTATGGAGAGATTTGTTTAAGAAAAGCCTGGGGGAAAGACTGCATCCTCACACTGCTACTGCTCACGTCAGGAGAAACATGTAGAGTCATAGGACTGGAACAAGATTTCAGATGTACTAAAACTAAGAAAAAATAATAATTCTGCAAGATTGTGACAGTAAGCATGATCACGGCCATCAGCAGAAAGCAGGCCTTCTGAAAATTGGATATGTTGCTGTAATAGGCATCCTGAATACTCCTTTCAATATTTGTTGTTTTCCCTGAGAACAACAAATATTGGAGTATGAAATTAAAATTAAATGTTAAATGTGTGCCTGCTGCCAAGGTATCAGGTATTTTTTGTATGTGTGATTGAACGCCTAAGACCACATCAAGCTCTTATTTATGAGTATGGCTGTACCTTGAATCTTGTTTGCCGTGGTCTTTAATGTGTCCTCTCCTGTGGAAATATTGAACAGTAAGTGAGTCCATTTTGTTCAAGAAATATGTCACAGCTGTCTACAAGCAGTGTTTCCTAAACCATGGCAAGCAAGATGCTTCCAAGGGTAATGTCAAACCATGAGAAAACGTATTGTCAAACTCACCCGAAACAACATTTTCTAGCTCTTTATCTTTCGTTAGCACCTGTCAGAATAAAAGTTAATCGAGACGTTAAAAATTGAGCTGATTTAAATATTTTAATAGTTGTATTATTCATCACCAAAGAAACAGTACGCTCCATATACCCGTGCCTTCAAAAGACAAAAGAAAATTATTTTTAACAAAGAGGTGACTTGGACATTAAAAGTTAACTTCATTACGTCACAGTACAACGGTCTTGTTTCCACTGCTAGTCCCCCGCTAGTCTCAAATATTCTAGCTATCCCTTGTTTATTAAGGTTTTGTTGTTAGATCGTGCTGTTTCGAGAGATCAATAACACAAACGTCATTACATCATTATGATGCCATCAGAGCTATCATGGAGAAAATTCAGCTTTATAAACACCAATGATTACGTTGCATTTGGAGGACTAGGGGTTTTCCTGCTTAATAGCTTTCTTTACACACCTTATATTGCTCACTATTTTCATGTCTTCTCCTGCCCTTCCTGTGATTTCTGCCTACTTTCTTTTAAAGGATTTTGCATTGTTCTCAGTCTTCCGCCATCTGTAAGTATTTGTTATACATGTACTGTACTAACCCCAGCTATTTCTTCACTTCTGACATTGGTGTGTCATGGCTTCATTTCATTCCTCTTGTGCTAAAGATGATCAGAATCAGACTCTTCCCTGGCCTTTAACTGAAACCAAAAAGGTGCTAGAATGAGGTCTACACATATTTGTGCTGTTATGAGATAAAAGGCATTAGAGAGGGAAGATCAGGCTAATTCAGTGTGGCTACACTTATCTCTTTAAACAGTATATTGAAAAACCACAGACAGTTCTGAGCACGTGGAAGAGTAATGTACAGCTTTATTAAACAAGCCTTCAGAAAATGTAAGTTTCTTTTCTAACCAGTATTCAGATCACATTATACACGCTATCTTTGGCTATTTATACCTCCCACAGCATGGCTGAAACATGCACTGTGCTTATTCTGATGAAATTTAATTTATTTACAGCTTAAGACAAGGATTTACTTTATAGGAGAGATGAATCTCCGCTATGTTTGAGAGGTACTGTGGATGTTTAAAATATTTTTCCAAGGTGATTATACCATAGATGTCCCCTTTTCAGTGTTGGATTTGTACCATGGCTATGTAGAACAACTTAGCTGACACCAGCAT